TGCCATCAACCTGCCAGTGGGACATATTTAATAAATAAACATAACCATAAACATATAGGACTTTTAATACTACCTATATAAAGATAGGTAGTGCAAAAATGTCTTTAAAACGTTATTCAAATAAGACTATCAAATCCCGGTGTGCTTATATAGGCTAGGTTTAGTCTGTTAGGCCTCCCCAGTGTCCAGTGAAAGAAAATACTATATAACTGCTATGTCATTAAAACATTACATCAGTCAATTTTTTTGCCAGGTTCCAAACACGATTACTTTGTTGTGTTTTGGCCCCATTCTGGCTGCAGCCCCTCTTTGTTTTGCCTCAGAGACTCAGGAGGACTACAAAGAGGCCAGACGTTGTGGCCGTGTGCCCTCCTGGAGCCCACAGGGAAGCCCTGCATTGTTTGGTCTCGCTCGGCAGGCCTTTCAAAAACATGGCAGAGAGAGACCAGCCCGCGCCTTTACAAGTGCTCTGAGCTGCATTGATTGAAGGTTTATGTGATCAATGCTATCAAGACAGGTTTTAGGAGGGTCACCACCTGAATGTCAATATGCAACGTGCTCTACCGCGTCGCCATATCACCTCCGTAATAAACATGCGTGAGGTAGTAAAAAAAAAGGAGGAAGGAAGAGACAGATTTAATGGGACAAAAATTGGAACATAAACTATAGAGTAATGTGTCATGAGCAACATTATTATGGGAAATGTCAGTCTTACGTCTATCTAAAACTAAAAGATAGCATTAATTTGGAACTTGTTTTGCTAAAAGTTTAATGCAATGTTGCCGCAAAACATCACCTACGTTTCTTTGTTTACCATCTCCAACTAAAGCCATGTTCATAATATTTGTCTTCGTTTGGTCTTGTTTTTTCCCTATCATGTAATTTAGTCCTGTTTTAATCCTAGTTTATTCCTGGTCTAGTCCTGGTTTAGTACACCCTCAACCACATTTCAAATACAGCTACTAAACTGGGAAGGTGATTGGTCAGGTATCCACATATCGCACTCCACCCAAGCAGCCAGTCATGACAGTCTTTTGTGATGTCTCCAACTACTATAAATTGCAGAGGCCACTGGTGGCAGCACAGACTTAAATTTAGGTGTTTTTGACCAGAAAGCTTCAAATCTAGCTAGTAGCCAAAAAACAGGACTATAGGAACAGTAGATGATGCAATTAAAATGCTATATACACATTTTAGTACTGCAAAAAAGTGGATTTTCATTCTTAGTACTTTAACTACAATACAAGTAGTTTTAGTAAATTAAGCTTTGGCAATTGTAGTATAAATAATGTGCTATTCTCATGTCAATAAAAGAAACAAATAATAACCACATCAAAATCTAAAGCAAAGTTATCATAAATTGAAGATACAGAATTGGTATCTGGTACGTCCATCTTCCTTTGCAGTGTCCCATACGCCCTGACAGACCAGACTGTTCCGCACCTTTTGGCATGAATGAGCACAGTCAGAGATTATCACACAAAACAAACAGCTGAGATCAACCACAAGTGTCCAAGCTGCCAAGACGCAACATAGAACACAGCCTGGTACAGAAAGTCCTCAACTCCAATGGGCTCACAAAAAAATACCACGGTTCACTTTATGTCCTACCATTTTGTGGAGGGTTTCACTATAATACCTGCTCAAATTAAAAAGTTGCATTATAGCCTCTAAGGAAACAAACAACTAAGCTCAAATGTGTGCGCTAGGGACAACATTAGATTCTACCAATAGGCCCATATTGTAAAAGTTATAATAAAATATAATTGACTCGGTACTCTACGATGATTGAATTGATCCATTGAGGCCTAGTGGCGAAACAGCAGATGATTAAAATGTGGAAATTAAAAGCTGATTCTCTGGAGCTAAACTGCCTATCACCATGGAGGAGATAGTATTGTAATGTGACTGCCGGCTGTTGTTTAGTAGCTCCAGCGCTCCAGGCCTCGGTGGGGGAAGCAGTTTGAAGTGTCAGTGTCTCACCTGGTGTTAGTGCAGCGGACACAAGGTGACTCATCTATTATGGATGAACTGTAGTGGCCAGTAGAGGACACACTGGTCACCTTGTTGGATCTGAGGCAGAGAGAGTGTCTTTAAACACCACACGGTGAACCTGCCACTACCCGCTGACCGTGGTCCCAACACTGCCACATATGCACGTACACAATGGTGCATTTTACATGGGGAAGTGCAGAAGTTGTTTCAAATGTTAGATTGAATTCAGGCTAGTGTTGAAAGAAATCCGCTTCCCTGGCTCAGAACCCAGTGCACTTGAGTGAGTCTGGCTCCCCCCAAGGCTTAAGCCCTCAATGCAATTGGCTGCACTTCAAGCCGAAAAATGCAGAAGTCTCAGTCCATCCATTATAAACAGTTCTGTGGTGGGCAGCTGCCAGGCGGCCAACTGAGGCAGGTAACTGGCACGCTCATCTGGACTGCAGAAACATGTGTAAAACATGAATGACTTTGTTAAGAAAGTCAAATAGATTGTTCTAATTAATTGTTGGCATCAGAAGCAAGTCACCTCTTGTATAGAAAGTAAACAAAGAATACAGCTTGCCAAGTTTGTAAAGTTACAATGTGCACACAAAGATTTAGTGCGGTATGTTGTAATAGTCAAAAGGAAAACACAGAAGATGCCACGTCAACAGGAAAAGGCTGTATATTTCAATCTTTTACAGAGAAGAGCCTTGTTAATGCTGGTATAAAACCATTGTGACAGCTAGCAGTGTGCAATAAACTGAAGCATGTGCTGTGTTTTGAGTTTCCTCTATCTCTCTGGATACAAGCGTTGGTGTGCTGGTGTGATACTGGTGCAGGTGGTCTCTGGGTTCAAAAGAGTGGAAAGTGGCCTTCACAGTTGTGTTCGGACTCAGATTTATGGGTCGGGATCTCCAGCCGGGTGGGAGGCTGCAGTGGGCCCAGGGCAGCACAGCGGCAACAGCACTTCCATCTGTTGTCACGGTCTGCTCCTATCTGCATCCTAATCCGTCTCCACAAAACAGAGAACAAACAAGGAGGCAGGGGCTTCCACACTTGGCTCAAAGACTCAGGGCTGTGGTAGAGAGGATGTGAAATGTAGAATAAAACATCTACATAAAGTAGCTCTTTCAGTTTCACAATTTTCACCATTAGTGTCTTATAGCAATAATGGGCTTTGCTTATATCCTGAAGTCCAAGTGAGAGCTAAACCAGGAACTTAACAGAAAACTGACACAAGAACATGCAGTACTCATTAAGTACTCAAGGTCTAAATAAAGATTAGACCAAGAGAAGTGATAAATAATCAAATTTGTATGCACTATTTGTTTTCTTATTAAGATTAAGGTTAAAAATAGAAAACAGCTCACCAGAATTAAAAACCAAGAACAAAGAAAACACCACCTGTGTCACCTGACACCTGAAAACCACTTGACCAAATGAAAGCGATGCAGTTAAGAGGCAGAGCTGGTGCATTGGCTTGCTCATTTGTAGTTATAAATACAGGCCATATTAAAATCACTGGGCGCCTCTTTACATGCAAATGGCGTGAAGGGTATGCAAGGTCACATATTTGTCATTATTCATGGGCTAAAGGTGGTTGACATTCAGAGTGCGCCAGTGCCTCCACTCAGCAGATGTAGCTCGTGGTACAAAAGAGTCTGCCAGAGCTGACTAATCATTGGTATATGCAGCCATAATGTGCTCTCAATGTCTGAACACACACACCATCCATCACGCACAGATCCTAATGTCTTTGGGCTGCATGGGGAAAGGGCATTGGTGGAAGGTGTGGCATATCTAAGATCTAATAAATATACATTTCCTCAGGCAACAGAAGGAAGCAGCCAGATCTGAGGATTCATTTCCTACTCCTGCAGACATAGCAGATAAGGTTTGATACAGTGCGGGCATGCAAAATCTACATCCTGCAACCAGCTCTGGAGTTTTATTAATGTGTGCTCTAAAAAACAAATACCAGTGTTTCCCATACAGGAGAGTATAAGTAGTCTTAGTCAAACCTTTGCACCCATAGTCTAAGGACAAGATCAACAAAAAATGATCAGTGTCTTTAACATACAGAAGTAGGGTTCTGGAATCAGTGTTTTTTTGTTTTTTTTGGATCAACCAAGGCAGTAAGTGATTTATACTCTTTAACGAATATCAATTTTATCAAATAAGGATAACTTGTACCAGTATAGCTTCTATAAAACACCTATATTGTAAGTTATTCTTTAGTGCAGAAGTCAAAAGCTAAAGTTGGAGATTGGAGTAAATAGCTGGACCTTGGCCGTGCTGCCTCCATGTTTTCACATAGTATTACAGCCACAGTTGATGCCAGGCGTGTCTGTGGCCTGAGGCGGGTTGCAGAACAGCAGGCTAAAGTGCACACCATGCACTCTCCATATGAGAGCTCAGTGTATCAGGGACAGCGCAGTCAGAGGCAGACGGCCAGCAGGCTGTGCACCAGCTTTAGGTGGAATGTTATGACCTACAGCAAGGGCAATGTTCATATGCAATGAATATGAGTATCAATAGGCTGTTTTCACATTTTACAATTTGATGAGTTTATAATTTGTGATGGAATGCAGGGTCTATTTAACTATATGAGAGATTTATTGTTTTGAAAAGAAATTAAAAAAAAAAACTAAAAAAAAAATAAGAGCCATATTAATCTTATTTTTATAGTCAGTGACAGCGTGACAACCATCACGTCTTTGGTGTTGAGTAATAGCAGAACCTTTTGAAGCTATTGTGAAGCTATTGTGAACAAATAGCTAGCAATTTATGTCACAATATGGCAATTAAAAAGCAATTGTGACCTGTTTTCCAGCTTAGTTTTTAAACTATAGGGATTCTAGAAAGTTCTCAGGGCATATGACGCAAGCAATTAAATGTAATCAAATGTAACAATCTGTAGTAAGGTAGTGTGGGATCTATGAGAACATCTATTGTTTCAAGAAAAAGGTCAAACTAATAAAGGTTGTTCCTTTAGTGCTACTACTATGTAAATCCAAAGTTACCATGACAGAAATGTGTAGAATCCGTATCTCCTCTTTGGCTGAGTCATTGGCCGGGTCTTCTGTGGGTTCAGGCAGGCTCACACTGCCGTCCTGGTGGTGAATGTGAAAGAGCAGAGTGCCGTTCTCCAACCACTGCTGCCTCCAGCGCACCAGCGGGATATCCTCTGAGTTACCAGAGATCTCTGCAAGACACAAAAGGAACTGGCTCAGGCAACTGAAAACTTAATAATATAAGTGCTTTATTGCAATAATCCGATTGCCTGGTATGTCCAGAATCATATATCTCTCTATTTTTTTTTACATTTGTGTTTGTATTTGACCGATTGTCTGGACATCACTCCCTCAGTCGTATCTCAAGTCAGGCTCAAACATGTCCAGTAAAACCAGATTTGTTTTTTTCAGTGACACAACATGTGAAATGAAGGAGTTCATTGGTCACCCATTATTTTAAACAAAATCAAAATTCTCACCACAGATCAACAGATTCTGCACCCTGTGAGTTTTTTTTTTTTTTCTTTCTTTCCTCCTAAGCAGCTATATTTGTTTTGATATGGATGGACCATGTATGTCCCCATTGGTTAATCCACCTGTCAATCATGCCCATCTGAACTTGGGGAGATGACCAGACTCACATCTTTGCAAAGTTTTAGAAAAGTCTGGATCCCAGGCAAGTAATTTGAGTAATGATTTGTCGTAAGTCATGCACCAGGGGCCTTTTTGTTCATTAAGGCTTCAGACTTCTACAAACATCTCAAAGTTTTGCTCCTTTTATGGGTGATTTAGTATAAGACTCTTTCTAAAAAATTGCTAATTTGCTCCAAAAGTCCTCCCCATCAATGTCAGCTCTTTCACCTCAAATCCCCTTCTAAGCTGCAAATATCTGATCCAAAAGCTGAGAAGAAACGCTGGGGGAAATGAAGAGCAGAGGATGATTTTGTGAAAGCAGCCAGCCATGAAACTCACTTCTTTGTCAAACCTTCAGATGCCAGACGCTGCCTCTCTGTAGCTGATATAATAGCACAACACTGAGGAGCTGAAATGGAAAACATTACGTATGCATGTGCAGGGCTACGCTCTGTTTTGTAGATGTACAGAATGGGAGGACTGCTCATAACTCCACAAAAGAAAAACAAAGATTACAGGAAGTAGTTTGTGTAGTGGTTTACCAGAAACGACACAATTTCAAGTAAAGCCATCCAAGCTTTTATTCGATGAATCGTTTCATAGTGCCTTAGTCAAACAAAATTTTTAATGAACTTTTTAAAGACACTATTTATTATAGTACTTCTCTGTGTGAATAGTTATTATTTATTGCATCTTGTAATTATAGTCTGACTTAGACGCTGGTCAGATTATAGACATACTAAAAAATGCTTACGAGTTGACAAACTCACTTTAGTTGAATAATTGACGCACAGAGCATTTACTCCACCAGGAATTTCTTAAGATGACTGCACCCCTGATTTCAAGACACATCACACTTTACATTTAAATACGTAAAATACAGCTTTTTCAAATGACTTTATGGATACATTTAAGGTTAGGGTTTTTTGGAGGGAAAAAAAGACAAAAAAATGTCATCTACGATCCATTACAAAGATTTATAATATGCTAGCATACTTAATAGTCACAAAGCACAAGCCTGTACTTTATATTGTAAAAAAGCCAAACTCTTAATTAGAGATAATGAAGCAACGTATGCTTTATAAGTAACAATAAGGCAATAAGTAACAATACAATGGCTAAAAATATATTGAATACAATTATTAAAACTCCAAATCTAAACTCTGGGTGACAGATGTGTTTTTGTAATTTTTTGTGGCAAAAGCAGCAGTAGAAAAACAGAGTAGTTCCGCTTTAACTACTGTGATTGCGGATGTGAATAGGTGTTGACTGAGCAGGACCGGCCTTGACCTCCCAGGGGCCTTGGACAAAATTGGGGCCCTCGATCTGACCCTGGAGCCATTTGATATTACCACAGTCACACTCGACACGACCACACCGCCTCCACAATCCTTAACACAAGTTTGTTCTATTTGGTGGTCACAGAATAACCCCAGCAGCAGTAATTCAAGCCTCTGACATGTTTTAAATTGAATACCTACACAATAGCAAGTGTCAGTCCTTTTTTTCCTATTGGCTTGAGAATACTGTGTGGCATTTAGAAGAGCAGGTTATTCAAGGTTTTGAATAATAATATAAAGTGCTCTTAAATGTGTTTTAAAATTGTGTTAATAACTTTTTTTTTCATTTTATCTTTTTGAGAAACTCACATTATCTAGTATGAATGTGGTGTGTGCGCAAGTGTTTGGTGGGTTAATAGGGGAGATGGGGCATTCCACCCTAGGGCAGCTGTGGCTTCAATAGTACTATCTTGTCACCAAAAGTATGGGCTGAATGAATAATGCAATGGTAAGCGTCTTGAAAGGGCAATACAGATCCAAATATTTATTAAAAGCTTTTTCTTCTGGGAGTTGTGATTGATAAAACACTTGTTAAGATGCAGATAGCGTCCAACAGTCTGATTTTGTTACCAAGTGCTGTTTTTACAATGTTCAGAAAGTGGGAGACTTCTAAATGTGTCATCATTAAATATAACATAGTATTGGTAAAGCTATTATTTTTTGACCCCAGTCTTAATTAGCGGTTCGGTCTTCTCTATACACCCATTAGCAAGATCCTACACCCTGCATCTCTCTGTAGTTTATAGATGACTTGAGATGCATGCCACTGAGATAGACAATTACACTAATTGCGAGCTCAACTCTGAGCACTACGCAAGTCTATTATCTAAATATATTAAGCCAACTGCACTGCTCTACAAGCTATTACATAATTTAAAGCTCGTTTCCAACACGTAATATTTTACAAGCAACAACAGAAGATGCCAGGCAAGCACAATGTGGAAGAGAAGTGCATGCTGGGAGTCCAACGAAGAAATGAACGGACAAAGCCCATTAGTGTATAGTCCATAATTGATCAAAGTCTACACTGGGCGCATGGCTGTAGGCAGAAATCACAGCAAATAAATAATGATGAGATTAGCTTGATCAAAAGAAACAGCCACAACTTCAATGCATGGACAAGGGAATTGGGACGACAACAGGGGGACAGGCACGAGACAAAAGAAGACAAAACCTACTTAGCCTTGTGTATTCTATATATAAACACAGGCTTACCCAGGCCCAGGACACCATTACACTGATTACTCGGAGATGTAGCTGCAAGCAACATTTTCCTGCTGAACACGGACTTTCACACAGCCATGCTAGCTCAGGGATCGCACCTTTGCACCTGCGCTGTTTAGATCCTGATTCAATCTGAGTCATGACTGAATTGGAAAATAAATTAGACTTATGTAAAACATTTATACACATAATTTTCTTAAAATATATTGGAACAACAATTATAAACTCCTTAAAGGTACACTATGTATTTACAGTGTGGAGTACGCCACCTGCTTTTACTGTAGAGAGGTTATTGCTTTGGTTGGAATGTTCCAGAGTATGGCATTAAACTTCAAGCAGTTAATGCTACCGGGCCATGTTGCACATCAGATCTGTGGAGAGGTGGAGAGACAGCCCCTCTTAGAATAAGAATGCATGTTTTTCAAGGGATTTTGGAGTAATAATAACAACACCTGCAATGAAATAAATGCAATGTACATTCCAAACAAAACAGGCAACTCTGCTGGCAAAACAATCACATTTCCATGGAGACAAAAAATATATTATCTGTACAGTCAAAAACAAAAAATAAAAACATTGCCAGATTGAGCAAACAGAATGTACCAGTCTGTATATGTTTGCATTTCACTCACGGAACACGTCGTTTTCTATCTCCTGTTCCTTACTCTGCTTATCCTTTCAGAAATACATTGTTTGAGCATTAATCAATATTTAATGTCAAATTCTGACGGCAGCCATTACACCGGGGATTTTATAGATACGTGTGGATTTTACTCTCTTTGGCCCTGTGGTTCCATTCTGACTCGTATAACATTGTCCCATAAAGCCCAACATTTACAGCATAACCTTTTATCTGCCCATCTTCACCACCACCCCTGGAAATCATTTCAGTGGGTGGATCTAACTTTCAAAATGGATTATAAAAAGGTAATTTGTTTTTTGCCCTTAGTATTAAAGTACTATATTTAGAATTGTTAAAAGCATTATTATAATTAGCAGTTATTTGTACAATTATACTTTGCTAATGTGCTAATATTAAGCAAAATTAAATGTTAAAATAAGAGAATTGATACTTTGGAGCTGATGTCGTCAACATTTCGTGGGGGTGTGACGCTAAATGAAAGCACTACTCTGTTAGAAGCTCTGTTATTCAAGTTAGACTTTAATGAGCTTTATTTGAACTCAATCTGACCAGAAAGAACTGATTTAGTAGGAACTACAACAGGTGAGCTGATATGTGCTGTAAAACAAGTCTCACACATAAAATTACAGTCACAAACAAGCCACCAGTTTTTCAGTAAATCACTCTCATATTTTTGTCCAGAACTGAAAACTTTAAACAGGACCATGGACACTCATATTGATCATAAACTTCTGAAAATGTGTTGTTAAAATTAATTTTGTATTATTGACTGTTGTTGTTGTTTTTGTTTTTTTGTTTTTTTGTTTTCAGACTATATTAAAACATATTAATACTGAACATATATTTGAACATTCTGCCATAGAGACACATGTAGAACACCCACGGAGCATGAGGTGCACTGCAAAGTATCAACATAAAGCTTCTGCAAACATAAAATGAGCTGCTTTGTATTAATATCTGAAAATTGGATGTCACAGTATAAAATTTTTGTGTTTCAATTGTGAGAGGAAACATCACAAATATTATAGATTTCATTGACAATATTGCAATTGTTGTTTTGGAGATGTGCAAAATTAGAATATTGAGTAAATGGTATAAACAAAAACAAGTATATAAAGTTAGATTTCTGGGCTACTTTACGATTTATTCACTTATGATACTTGAACCTCAACCAAAACAAAGACAAAGCACGTATGTGATCAAATTCCTTCTGAATAGATATTAAAGTAATGAAAATAAAAGAGACATTTTTTGCACCCCTATGACCAAACAAAAGTAAAATCCTAATCTACTGTTAATTGCTTTGTCTAATATATGACTAATATATCTAATCTTATCTAATATATGACTT